TGGTTCACGATTTATTTTCGTTATGGAATCCAATATTTTAAAAAACTCAAACCACCAACCTCGATTATTTGGAAAGACTGAGATTGTCTGTGTTGGTGTACCGGCAACAAAGGTCCTTCCAGTAGCCCTAGATGTGTTTATATAAACATTAGTTATTTTAATATTATTTACAATTATAAAATGAATAATTTTAACTTATATAGATCAATGTTGTTAGCCGAGATCCATCACTTAACTTCAGTTATACAGAAAAAAATCGAAAATCATCTGCATCATCACACAGATTAAATGTCAGAATTTAAAAATAATATATATATTAGATAATGATGTGCACGAGTCACAGCAGCACTGTTAGAGAAAAACTAAAATATTCAAGAGTAGCTCATCTAGGATTAAAGATATCTTTCTATTTTTGGATCAGCCCATGCCAATTTCAAATGAACTTGTTTCAGAAATCACACAAAAACTGTTAACATAAAATGTTCACAGCATCAATACTTACCAGTTTTGTTTTACTTCTCTTTTACAGTTGTCGTCTTTTGTTCCTTGATGTTAACCTACAATTCATAAATTAAAGACAAAAAACCCGCAGCCTACCGGTAATCAGGGCTTGTGGCGCAATGGATAACGCGTCTGACTACGGATCAGAAGATTCCAGGTTCGAATCCTGGCAAGCTCGTGATTTTTGTTAAGAATAAATATGCATTTTTCACATTTTAAACATGACGTCATTATATATATGAGGCATAGTATTACAAATACATAATTGCCTTATTTCATATTTCATAAAACCAAATGCTGATTACTTTTCTAAAGAATGTACTTTGTGTGTCATGGTCACATTATTTTGACAACGGGCTAATCAAATGTGGTAAGGGAGACACCGCCAAAAATATGGAGGCGCGAGTATGTAATTTTTTCCTGTCATCATATTAGGAAGGCACATGAAAATGTCCAATTCTTCAGGAGCGTCACGTTAGTCGCCTCTTACGATCATGCGGTGGGATAAAGCAGGTTTATTATTTCATAATGTCCCGGACATGCACATGACATATAGCATACGATTGTCTACGTGAGTGATGGTGAGAAATATATAAGACTCCTTCACACCGGCAAGCGTTGTGTGTGTGAACGAGGTGGGATTGATAATGAAGTTGTACACCTACAGCACACTCGAGTAAGGTCATCATCTGTATGCATTTCATAGTGTCGATTGCGTAAAACCAAGGGTAGTATTTGTTTTGTATTGAACAACTGTCTCACGAGATAAGGAGTAGTGATCAACAACCAAACGACCATAATATGCAAGTATGTAAATTTTGTATTCAAATGCCTCAGTGTTATTATTTTCATAGACGACATCAGCTGATCTGTGTTACAGGGCTGTCCTGTTACTAGGGAATATTTCTTTATTGGCTGATGACAGGTTTACGTAGCAACCGTCAAGGTCCTGTGACGGCGGACTTTAGATCAAACATTTTGACACAAAGAGTCAGGTGTGAGTTCTTTAGCGTTTGACAGTCTTCAAACCCCCGTGTGCCGGTTGCTGCTGGTTCGACTCCACGCGTGAGGAGCAAGGTTCGACTCCAGACGTGAGGAGTAAGGTTCGACTCTAGGCGTGAGGAGTAAGGTTCGACTCTAGGCGTGAGGAGCAAGGTTCGACTCCTGGCACGAGGAGCAACTTTCTTCGTCATGTAAACAGGGTTCTAACATAGATATTGTTTATCTGGGGGAGGCGACAGTATCGTCTTTTCCTCTCAAAACTTCAGATATAGGCTATTTGTATGTTAAAATAAAAAACATTTGAAGAGATTCTTTGCAGATTTGTGATCGTAGTTGGTTATCAAGAGGAAACACATTTTTATCTTTGACAGTCTGTATAGGAATAGAATAGAATAGAAACTATTTTTTGACTTAAAAGTTAATTGTCATTAAGAGCACTGCATTATCGAGTGGAGCCTGACTTCAGGTAATTCGTTATTATTTATTGATCGTAAACTGATACAGTTTATAGATACAAACTTTGCATTAAACTTAATTACAACAGATATTTCCAGGGCCATTCCATTGATACAACATTTAATTATCTACTAAATAATTTGCTCGTAATATGTTTGCTTGATGGACAAATTTTCCTAAATTACACAATTCTTTCGTATTTATAGATGATAGAAATATATCAGAGGATTCGAACCTGGAATCTTCTGATCCGTAGTCAGACGCGTTATCCATCGCGCCACAAGCCCGGGTCACTACACAAAACTGTTCACTGTAAATTTAAATAGCACTGTGCTCCACCCGGGATGATAAATAGCAGCCGAATTCGTGAGTGCAATTACTGAATGAAGGTTAAATCAGAGTTTTTTGTATTGCCGCTGAACAGATTTTTAAAGTTTTCAAAAAGAGCTCGGTTTTGGAACAAGTTGATGAAGATTAAATCTGTAGCATTCTATTAAAGTGTAAATTACCTAAATTCGTTTGTTTTATGCTACACAAACCTCTGTGCAAATAATGGCTTGAAATACTTTGATATAAGATACGCGCTGACTTCATATATAGTGTTAGGTATTGGCTGGCTCACGATTTTTTTCCCGTTAGGAATCCAATATTTTAAAACTCAAACCACCAACCTCGATTATTTGGAAAGACTGAGATTGTCTGTGTTGGTGTACCGGCAACAAAGGTCCTTCTAGTAGCCCTAGATGTGTATATATAAACATAAGTTATTTTAATATTATTAACAATTATAAAACGAAGTATTTTAACTTATATAGATCAATGTTGTTAGCCGAGATGTTGGCGCAAGGGGAGTCTTAATGTGCTCCCTTTAGAGACGTATAGTAGTATACATGCCATTTCCCCCCTCCAAGATGTCAGCCAGTAAGGTTAGATTTATAAGTCAAAATCAACAATTAGAAAATATCTTAGTTGTGATAGATTAATATTTTCCATATAAATTCCTTCTGAATTACATACCTACAGATTTGACAGTAAAATTTCATTATATTGCAAAGATTTCAGAGATTTTTCCGACTTGGTACAGTTACTTGACACATTCTGATGACCGAGATATTCTTCTCAAATCCATCTCTTAACTTCAGTTATACAGAAAAAAATCGAAAATCATCTGCGTCATCACACAGATTAAATGTCAGAATTTAAAAATAATATATTTATTAAATAATGATGTGCACGAGTCACAACAGCACTGTTAGAGAAAAACTAAAATATTCAAGTAAAGTAGCTCATATAGGATTAAAGATATCTTTCTATTTCTGCATCAGCGCATGTCAATTTCAAATGAACATGTTTCAGAAATCACACAAAAACTCTTAACATGAAATGTTCCCAGCATCAATACTTACAGTTGTCATCTTTTGGTCATCGATGTTAAGCTACAATTCATAAGTACAAGACAAACAAAACACAGTTCCTACTAATCAGGGCTTGTGGCGCAATGGAGTCTGACTACGGATCAGAAGATTCCAGGTTCGAATCCTGGCAAGCTCGTTATTTTTGTTAAGAGTAAATATGCATTTTCCACATTTTAAACATGACTTCATTATATATATGAGGCATAATATTACAAGTACAAAATTGCCCAATTCCATAAATGCAAATGCTGATTACTTCTCTAAAAGAATGTACTTTGTGTGTCATGGTCACATTATTTTGACAACGAGCTAATCAAAGGTATGGAGGCGCCAGTATGTAATTAATTTCACGTCTCCATATTAGGAAGGCACATGAAAATATACAAATCTTCAGGAGCGTCACGTTAGTCGCCTCTTACGATTTTGCGGTGGGATAAAGCAGGTTTATTATTTCATAATGTCCCGGACATGCACATGACATATAGCATACGATTGTCTACGTGAGTGGTGGTGAGAAATATATAAGACTCCTTCACACCGGCAAGCGTTGTGTGTGTGAACGAGGTGCGATTGATAATGAAGTCGTACACCTACAGCACACTCGAGTAAGGTCATCATCTGTATGCATTTCATAGTGTCGATTGCGTAAAACCAAGGGTAGTATTTGTTTTGTATTGAACAACTGTCTCACGAGATAAGGAGTAGTGATCAACAACCAAACGACCATAATATGCAAGTATGTAAATTTTGTATTCAAATGCCTCAGTGTTATTTTTTTTTTCATAGACGACATCAGCTGATCTGTGTTACAGGGCTGTCCTGTTACTAGGGACTATTTTCTTTATTGACTGATGACAGGTTTATGTAGCAACCGTCAAGGTCCTGTGACGGCGGACTTTGAATCAGATATTTTGATACAAAGAGTCGGGTGTGAGTTCTTTAGCGTTTGACAGTCTTCAAACCCCGGTATACCGGTTGCTGCTGGTTCGACTCCACGCGTGAGGAGCAAGGTTCGACTCCAGACGTGAGGAGTAAGGTTCGACTCTAGGCGTGTGGAGTAAGGTTCGACTCTAGGCGTGAGGAGTAATGTTCGATTCCAGGCGCGAGGAGCAACTTTCTTCAGACATGTACACATTGTTCTAACATAGATATTGTTTATCTGGGGGAGGCGACAGTATCGTCTATTCCTCTCAAAACTTATGAAGAGATGTTTATCAAGAGGAAACCCATTTTTATCTTTGTCAGTCTGTATAGGAACTAAACTGAAAAACTATTTTTTGATAAACATATCGAGACATTTCCTGAACCCATATTTGATATAAAAAGACAGTAACAAGAACCATGGAGACTCTAAAACAAGACATTTTGAACTCTCAGAGAAACCGTGAAATGAAACAAGGTGTTTGAGAAGAGTTAAAGTTAATTGTCATTACGAGCACTGAATTACCGAGTGGACGTGACTTCAGTTTGTCGTGAGGGCAAAAAGATGGCAATCTAAATCGGTCTAAAAACTTCTGAAACAGAAGAGGACGTGCGTAAAACGCCTTGATTAATAAATTAATTTTGAAAAATTAGAGGAGCACTTGTTATTAGAAATAATAATGATTACAGTTCATATATTATGAACCGTTTCATTAACCTAAGATCATTGTGGCCATAAAGGTTACGGCAAACTTCGGGGACCAAGAAATTCACCAGTAAGGTAAAATAAGTCACACTCATTTAAGTAACTTATTTAGAGATTTTAATGTATTTGTTTGAATAGGATCAATAAACATCTTTGCTTTGATCTCCGTCGTACTATCTCCATTAAATCAATAACGTTGACACGAGGAAGTAATACTGTTATCAGTTGTTTTACCCCAATCTGTAACGGTGCACTCATTCTGCATTGTATATATGTGTAATCAAGGTAGACAGGTACCTCTTCCTTATGGCTGGGTAGGAGTACCTGTACCTACTCGAAGTATACTTTGGATGTGGCGGTGACAACCAATAAGTTCCTTTGCCGACTGGATGACAATTTGATAGGTAATGCTTGACAGTTTTATGTTCTTATTGTTATAAAGATATTTCTTGGCTCACCTGAAAAATCACCTTAGCTAGAATTTAGGTGGGAAATACGGTATTATGTATTGATTTCAAAAAATTTCGGAGCTTCTTATCTGGTCTTACAAGAACGACGATCTGGTATCACGGAATTTCGCTTTTATATAAGGAATAAGAACAAGTTCTACTAAATGAAAATACCTATTTCAAGCTATGTTAGCAGATTGTATTGAGTTATTTGTTACATATAACATTTTTTATTTATATAATGAATGCCAATTGAAAAAATACGACGCTATGCTGTTACGACTCAATTTTTGTTATTAATTTCGCGCCTAAATATCATTAATTTCGGCGCACATTTACTCGTAAATGATTCATGCAATTAAATGTTTTGGTTTAATCTTTTCCAGGAGACAAACTCGGGCTAAAGTGTTATAGTAAACGTTTAAATTGCAACGGTTTTGATTAAACATTTGATGTATAAATGGAATTATTTGTATTATTTACAGAATCCACGTAATCGTTGGAAGTCGACAAAACATTGAATACCACTGGTTGGGATGACGGATTAAATATGATAGGGATTATCAACGACCGTTTCAGTGGATTGGGATAATACGAGTAAGACACCTTTTTAATAACAAAAACGATTAGAAAAGCAGGCAAAGACTTTCTATGTAAACATTACAATCTGAAATGACATCTTCAAAAGGACCAGCAATCATCCTTTTGGTGAAATGAGGGGACAAGATTCATACTTCTAGTTGCCCTCACCTATGTTTAACCTAAAGGCAATACTGTGATCTGATATGTGATGATTACACACTTTTCTCATATTTGTCATGCGACTCCTCTTCAAAGTTGCAAAAAGAAACATATAACTGACAAAATCAACAAGAGGTGATCTCCATCAAATGCAGTCATGAAAAGAACACAAGTCTTTCCAAAGGGATCGGCGTTAAGCAGATCTGACATTTTTTGAAACCGCTATTGGAGGGAACGTCATTGATTCGAGTTTTATAGGAGTGTTAACAAGAATGCCTCCGACCTCTCAGACATTCCGTCTCTGCTGCACCAGGTTACTTTCACAATGGAAGGCGCGTGGCGATGTCAGCTGTATCTGCCCGGCCGCTAGTGACGACATGGTTTGGTGGTGTGACGATGACAGTAACAGTTTAATACAAATGACAAGTAAAGGTGATGTATATCAGGAGGTAGTGAGTCCCTCCGTGCTGACTGATATCTGTCTATCCCCGACTACACACAACCTCTGGGCGGTATGCTCAAACGGAAGTATCATGGAACTGACTTCCGGTTCTTTAATCAGCAGATTCAACATAACGAATCAACCCATGTCCATATGTTGTACTAAGGGTGACCACATACTTGTTGGCATGATGAACAAGCTTGTTAAATTCACAACCGATGGGGAACAGAGTAGCACACTCACTACGTTACATTCTGGAAAAACATCAATATGTTCACCACGTAGAATCTCGCAATGTCCTGTCACTGGGAATATTGCTGTACTTGACAGTGAACATTCAATTGATGGTGGTGCTGGCAAACCGTACGTTCTTGGGCTGGACAAAGACCTTAAGGAACTGTTCGAATACGGAGAACCCGAACACAACAGCAGGGATGACTTCCAACCTTTCAGTCCTTGGGATATGACGTATGATAGTATGGGGAATCTGATCATTGCTGACTGTGACAACCGTTGTCTGCATCTGCTGAGTGGGAATGGTCAGTACTTGCGATGTCTCCATAATGACACGGGGTGGGCGAGACTTGTGGCGGTAGATAGGGGCGGGATTCTGTGGACAAGGTTTGGTAATCAAATCAAACGATTGCAGTACACCAGTGTATGAATCAGCACAATTCAGAGTGTTACTTAAAACAAAAGAAATTCTCTCTTGGTGACTGTTATGCATCTCATATTAGAATTATGCTCGAGAAAGTGAAAATAGCCGGGGGTAGAGCTCTGTTACTCTCTTTTTTTCGTACATAATTGTAACGATTGTAATAGGACGTAGCATGCTCGCAGCAGTCAAGTCCTAAACAGGTCAGGATTAGTTGTTAGTTCTCACATGTCCTGCACCAATGAAGGACCCCCGGGAACCTAATTGCCTAATATTAACCTGAAGATGTTGGGATGATGTTCAAAAATGATTTCTGTTTCTGTTAAAGCCGGACTGAATCAAAGTTGATCGCTTCAGAAACCCCCATGCCAAATATCGGCATTCTGGTACAAATCTAAATGATATACTAATGAATGGCCACCTCTTACAACAAAACTTTGACCCGTAATGCTGACGCAGACACCGGGACGACTATATAAACGCCCCGATTCTCTTAACAGGAAAGCTTAATAAGTGTTCTGTAGCGTTAACACACAACGACAAGATCGAAACTAAAGTGAAAACGCAAAGACAACAGGGTCGAAAGAATACAACTCGAGACACACAAATTGCTGGAGTCTTCACATACACATAAATCATGGAGAATTCAAATATTCTATCAAATAAGTCTCCTTACGTCATTGTGTGTAAGTTGTGAACACGTCACAAACTACAGTGCGCTGGTCGGACAATCAACAATCTATATTTAATCAACCACATTTGATAGTTCTATGTACCGTTCTGTTATCTTTAACCCTAATTTATAACCACGGATCTTATCTAGTTCCGTACCCTAACATCTCGATATCTGTATACGTATATACTGTAGCACAAACACATGCTGCTATTCAGTGTAAACTAATAACATCTTCATATTTTCATAGATTATTGCTGTGTACGCATTATGAGTAATACCGCCCGTTGACACATCACAAGAAACAATATAATGACGTCGTATCTGCGACCATGGCAAACCTGACGTCGTTTTCTTTTGTATTATCCCTGCGTAAATAATCACATAATGTAAATTTGGACATGGCTTAGATGAGAATATTTAGTCTCAAACCACATGGAGATAATAAGTCTGATCCTTTTGATATAATCGGTCTTTTGGTCAGACCAAGGCAGTGGGGAAATCCTTTGATGGCGGGATTTACGTGTTGTTTGCTTAAAGGTAAATATGAACTACATTCAAACATATATTAATTTCGCGTTTTTTTAAACTTTTGGCATTACCGAAGGCTTTGATGTATTTTGGAAATGAATCACACCTCACTTGCATATTTGAAAAAATGTCTGTCCTGACGTCAAGTTCAGTTGAACTTCTTATCCGGACTCAAAATCATAACATTGGACAATAGATGAATGTGACGTAACTTGTATCATTAACGAATCTCAGATCAATAATTATATAGGAGTTTCTGGTTCTTCCAATGCTTATCCCGTCTATTTTAATATGTGTTTACATTCCGTGCTAATACCACAATTCTTGCAGTTCGCAAGGCAAACAATTTTAAAAGTTCTTGCGAGTATCCTCTCTAGAATTATGGAAATACTTTTATTGAATGTCTTCTTATTCCTTGTCTTTGTGGTTGACCTTTCCACATCTTAACAAAATCCTTTGCACAATTATCAGAAATATTGCTTGTTATTTCAAACACCTCAATCATGTCCCTATTATTCTTCTGTAGCTCAGAGTTGGTCGTTTGAGTTTCCTCAGTCGGATATGAAAAATCCCGAAATCCAGGTATTTGTTTCGTTGCTCTCCCTTGTACTGCCTCAATCATATCGATATGCTTGAATTTAAAGGGATGCCATACAGTATCTGCATATTCAATATGAATTCTTACTAATGTTTTGTATAACAGTTAACATTTGTGTTGGTTTAGAAAATGAAAGGATCGACCGATGACTGCAAATATAGGATTTGCTTTCTTTACTTGTGTACTTAATTCATCTTCAAATGGGAAAAATATGTCTGTAATTACTCCTATATTCTTCTGATTTTCCACTTCTTGTAAAGGACCATTTTCTATGTAATATGTTCTTTCTCCACAGGGTCAGCCTATATATGCATAGATTGACACCTTAAAGGATGAATTTTAATAAATATGTATGTCCTCCTGTAGGATATCCACATCAGCGTTTCCATGTATACTTTTGAAAACTTTAGTATCATCCGCGAAAAGGTATGCATCCGACTGTAGCATATCAGGAAGATCGTTTATAGGTTTCACAAACAATATCGGTCCTAGCACTGATCCTTGGGGTACTCCAGAAGTTGTATTAGGGTCAGCGACAAAACGAATTGGTATTATCGTCACATATAAATGGTAATATCAAAATAATAGCTTTTAAAGCATGCTCTATACACAAAACATACTATAACATTCAAAATTAATGACCGACAAGGTTTTCTAAAAATCAATCATCAGATTCAATCAAAATATAACCTCTTAAAGCACTGTTAAAAGGAATTTGTTTGGTCATCTAGAACAAGTAACAGTCATTCCATCACAATCCCTTGCATTGTAAACCTGGGTTTATCTTACAAACTTGTTTTACATACAGATGCAGTAGATAGGTATGCTTATTTTGAAATATCTACCTATTTTATGTAAAAGGCAATACATATAAGGCAGGACATTTCACTCGTTTGGTGGCGAGGTTAAGGTATCCCAGCAAATAAGATGATATACATAATATCAATGTTGTATGATCACCATGGTGTCTTCAAAGAAATACGATATAAAGTTCCACATTTCCAAAGATGAAGAATATCCGTATGCTCAGCTTTTAGTCATGCATCATGAACTATTAACATTAAACTATAAGGTCACTCCGACCAATAAATGGCAAGAACTCTGTAATATCTCAACATCTATAACATCATATGTCGCAAACGTTTCAAAACCGATTGATCCCTTTGTCAAGCTATGACTGAGTGAGCGATTTGTAATGTTATACAAAACATAACAATGGAATTTCTTCTTCTCATAGGAGCCAATAAAATACAGAAAACAGAAAAATCAATATTCATATCATATCAAGCAATGATTGTCGAAAGACAAATGTTACGCATCTTAATGGTTTATAGAAGTTATATCGCACACATTTTCAGCTGTAAGAGGAAAACACTTTTATCCAGGTATCTGGGCTTAAAGAAAAAGCATTGACGTAATTGATGGAGATTATATACATTGTCTGACATTGTACATACAATCCTGCTTTGGTTTTTGTGATGATGAAAACATGAGCCACTTTTTTTTTCTGAGCACAAAAAAGAAAGAAAACAAATCTACTTATTTTTAACTACAGTGTAATATATAACCCGAACAAGAAATTAGGCTTGAGCACGACATCCATACTTGAGCACGAGAACGGTAACATGAATACAGGCCCTGATAATTGCTATGGAATTTGTCTATAATTTGATAACTTATAAAAAGTAACACAGACACAAACCACCAGGATTATTACAAAGTTTTATTTTCGTTTTCTCCAAATGTCATGATTACCTGTTTTACAACAAGGAGGGTTTTTTGACTGACCCCTAAACACCACCACTCTCACCCCCTCACCACTCCACGTCCCTTGAATTCCTGTCCTTGCACCATACTGAATTGATTAGCACTTGCAAAAGAATACCATATTCCTATACAACAATGTTGACTATGGCACAAAGAGTTGTTTTGAAATAGTAATATTTGCTTAAAAGGATTTGTATAGTACTAATCTAGAATTCATGTTCTTGATTATTTGTCAATGGAAGATTTTGAAAAAAAGAAAATGAAAGGCTGTTAATTACATCAAATTGTGGTATTTGTTATAGATAAGCAAGAACCATTACAATATTCCTTTCATTCAAGCCATATTTGATACACATATAATTTGAATAACATCGGAGTTGCAATCATGATAAATTTTAAAAGATTGACAATAAACTAATCACAAGATAGCATTTAAACAAAACATCGTAAAACGGTATAATATTTTTGAAAGAATTTTCTAAACATTGTCTTTTTCTATATTTTACTACACTGATTTTTTTTTGTGAAACTGTATCACATCTTTAGCAGATACCAATACCAATCCTTGAAAATGAAACAACAATCATTATCTCTTTCCTAGATTTCCTTGTCATTGAAAGATTCTTCACATTTCATTCCCCCCCTGCTTTGGTCATTTCTTGCTTTAAATGGTCCAGGATCATAACAGTTTATTAGTCTACTCACCTATGCGAGACAAAATTATTGCACAATCTCACAAAAGCAAGTCATCTCCTAGTTCTCATCTCTCAAAATCAACTTCAGATTTGACTTTTCTCTTTAGCTTAACAAACTTTCTTATATATTCACAGTAGCATATTAAATTAAAGTTTACACCATTTACCAAATCAATTATTAGAAACAATAGATATCAATCAAGAATACATCTTTGAAAAGAAAGGACACAATTGACTTAAATAAAAATATATTTACATATTTACTCAAAAGCAAATGTGAAAAAAAAACAAAAAACATTAAAAAGATTAACTTGTCATTTAAATTTGAAAATTTAAATGAAATTCATTCACGGAAATAGAAAAATGAATTTATGAATTTTTGCAAATATATTTTCCTAACATGTCAGGTTTAATCTGAAGTTCTTGATGAGAAATTGTGGTTTGAACATGCACATAAAGTCTTAAAATACTGTTAGTAAAGCGAAGACCCCATACACCAAGGCACAGGGGTAGGCCACTAGGGGCTGCTGGTGATCCATCGACAAGGCCGACACGAACAACTTAGATGCGGACAGACTACACCAGATCACAGCCAAAGCTGTCAGCACTATACCTATCAGGCCTCTGGAAAGTAAAAGTAGACATGTTTTAACATATTTCAATCTCAGTGTTTATTACATAGAAAGTGAAAGTAGACATGTTTTAACATATTCCAATCTTTTTGTTAATTACATGGAAAGTAAACATAAACATTTTTTAACATATTTCAATCTTTGTGTTATCACATGGAAAGTGAAAGTAAACACATGGAAACATTGTAAATTACACAGAACTTTAAAGTATGCTGATTTCAAGCTTAATATTTATTACTTGGAATGGAAAGCAGACTTGTAAGAAACATGGGAGGTAAAAGTAGATGTATTTCAAGATCAACATTATTTACACTGAAATTAAAAGTAGACATTTTCAAGTCTTGATGTAAATTACAAAGAAAGTAAAAGTTTATATATTTGATGCTTATTTCATATAAGTTATAAGGAAAGTAAAAGTGGATATATTTCAAACTTAATGTAAATTACTTTATGTAGGTCAAAGTATATAACTGCTAGTTAGCTAAAGAATACATGTTCCCTGTCTTTCTTAATTCTTGTGATTATTGAATATGACATTTGAAGACTAGTAAGGCAATTCATAAACCCTACATCCTATCTCCACCCATCCCCTTCTGCCAAAAGAAATAGATCATTAAATTCATTAACAGAAATATTTTTTACCCAAGAAGTTTTGAAAAAACTATTAACCTTTGTACTTACTGGCTGTAAGTGAGTATTGGCTCAAATGATATCAAAACACTCCACAATAATAAAAGGACTATTTGTTAAGAGTTATTTCCCTTTACACATCAACCCTGTCTCAATAACTGATCAACCCATGCACAACTGACCCCAGTGTCTTGAACAGTGTAGTAAAACCTGTCTACAAAGACTATTCTGGGGAGACAGCAAAACAGACACTTTTATGGAAAGGTTGTCTTTGTAGACAGATTTTATATAGAAATATCCTTTTGAGTTCTTTCATACGAATGGAGGGAGGGATTTAAATCAAATTTGGTCGAAAGCATTGCAGGGCAAAGGGGACTCATTTTGTATAAATGGAGGGTGTGGTCCCCCTGGGGACAGAGGGGCAGGGCCCATTAGGGGAGTAAAGCGATAAATGTTTAAAATCCTTCTTCTCCTGTATTAATGGAGAGATTTTAACCAAAATTTGGTGTAGAGCATCCTTTTAATATACAGAAAGATCAGATTCAGTCTTTAAGAAATACTTTACTTAACACTATTTACTACCTGATGAACACTTACTGTAAAGAGAGGAGGACGGCAGAGAAGGAGAGGATGACCATGGGGAGGAGACAGTAGCCAAGGACGCTGATGACACAACCCGCCGACACGCCTGTTATACTCATCAGATTCAGCAAGCTATACATGGCCAGGCATCCAACAACACCGATCCCGTAGATAAATCCAAACTGTAACTTCCCTGCCTGAAATAAAATATTGTATTTTATTAATTATTATATAACAAGCTCCATGCTTTTTCTAAATAACAAAATTCTTGGATGAGTGGCACAATGTCAAATATTCACAACTGTTCTAAAAATGTTTTCCTTCTGCAATCTTCAGAAAATCAATCATTTTCAGGTGTTGCTAAATATACCAAAATTAAAAGGTACTTGTACAAGCATAGATATAGGAATACATTGGTGACTATTTTCACACCTCTGTGTGGTGTAAAACCATATACCAAAATGCTGTTGGAGACATTTAAGCTAGTATGTTGTGTGTTATATGCATAAAGATTTTTTTTATTGCATTTTCAAATTCTCATGGGATATCTTACTATATAACATTTGATAACTATGTTATGATGAGTGTTTAGGAAAGTGTGAAAAGGTAAAATACAGAAACAAAATGAGCTTTTTTTAAGATTTCTAAAATGTTACGTAGGTAAACTCACCCTTGAACTACTGTTAATATCTCATTTCACTTAATATCATATTTTCTTCCAAAAACTAACACATGATATTAAGAGGAACATAGTAGAAATTCTGCATAGATATTAGTGTAGAACTCTTTGGTAAAGGAGATTTGCATAAGAATAAAATAACATACATCCTTAAGTCTCATGTAAATGATCTAAGAAACAGATAGCAGAATTTTCTGTAGATATAAAAACTGTTAACTCATTCCCCCTTCATATTTAAACTTGACTTGCCAAGTCTTTGATTTGGTAAGGTTCAAATGTGGCTTTAGGGGTGATTGGGTGAACTGGGAACATCATCTGTGGGAAGTATTATATCACATATAGAAATGCTCAGATTGAGATAAAGCTTGTTATTGACTGGTCAGTAATGATGGTCACTACGTCCAGCTGGCTGATTCCATGTGGACAATGAAGCTGAGACAATCCTATTAGCGGTCTAACACCCTGATATCCAATATGTGTGCAGTACATCCTATTAAGACATCACACAATGAGTTATGTCCAGGACTCGATTAATAAGATTGGTCAGCTTCCTGAGACATTAATTAGTTAAAACTTATATTGATGTTTCAATAATTATTAAAATTTTGCAAAAAGTATATGTGTCCTGGGATTCAAAGTAATAACTTTTAGATAATATACTCAAAAATGATTATATATTTTGCAAAAGTTTGCAAAAAATTGAATTTGAAAATTTGAGTACATAAATAATTAAGCTGATGCATTTTATCACAGGTGAATCCAGTCCTTATTAAGACATCAAACATGGGTATCAGTCAGCAGATTGTTGGGTGTACTCCATGTGCAATGGTCACCTAGACAATCTAACAGGATCCTTATATTATGTCCCATTTGTCAGTTTTGATGAGATGATCAGCCGGTCAAGCATTCTGACCAATACTGTCTCCACCTCTACACTAACATTAAAATATTATCTAAAGTCTAGTCTGCCTTTCTTAATTTTGAAATCAAATTTCTAAATAAAATCAATTTCTAAATAAAATCATTAACTAACGTCAAAAACAAAGACATGTAGTTCTATAAGAAATGCAAACAGGTACATTTTTTTTCAAAAAAGTCTGTCTCTAAAAAATGTTTAAAATAGTTGAAATAAGTTTATTTTTTACACTGGTTGCATTTCATGACTTCATTTCACTTGGAAAAGAAATACAGGAAATACAACATCCGTTTCTGCAAGATAATAAAGACTTTTTATTAATTAAATATGGTGTTGTGTAAAATTTACCCCCTCCTCACCCCAAAGCACTAATTCCAAAATCTAAACAAAACCTTACTTTGACTCCTTACTAAGCTAGCTAGATTCTGACCACAATATATATTACGTGATAAGAACTGTCAACACTGACCACAGAGATAGTTAAGCTGACCAGCTGGTTTTGACCACAGAGTGGTGATAAGGACTGTCAACACTGGTGACACTGACCATTGGGACTGGACATTATCAGGTGGTCCAGATGCTGACCATGACGTTTCAATGATAGGTGCTTTGTTTATGGCTGTTCTGGTGATAACAACCTGCTCCCTCTCGTCCCTCTACTGTACTACACAGCTGTCCTACACAATTTACCATTGTGATAGCAGAAAGAAGCTTGACAGTGCTTGACTAGATGGATCTATCAATGCTATGTGACTAGACAGAGAAAGGTGGACTCCACTTTTGACAAAGAACCAAGTACTGGCATCACAGATAAGTACATATTTGGCATCAAAATGATCAACTGCACCTCAGCAATGTGACGTAGACAGAGAAAGGTGGACTACACTTTTGACAAAGAACCAAGTACTAGCATCACAGATAAGTACATAATTGGTATAAAAATGATCAACTATACTCCTCAGCAATGTGACGTAGACAGAGAAAGGTGTTCTCCGCTTTTGACAAAGAACCAAGTACTGGCATCACAGATAAGTACATATTTGGCATCAAAATGATCAACTGCACCTCAGCAATGTGACGTAGACAGAGAAAGGTGGACTACACTTTTGACAAAGAACCAAGTACTAGCATCACAGATAAGTACATATTTGGTATCAAAATGATCAACCTCCCCTTAGCAGCAGCACTAGGGGAAAAAAATCAGCTTTAAATTAAAATACTGATTCTTCAGGCTCTTGAATAACTATGACTTTATTTTCTCACTTACATTATAGGAGTACTTGAGGGAGCTCCCATTTGGCCAAATAAGGGAGCCGAGTTCATCGTTTTCAATCCAGCCAAGGTGCTTAAAAATTGCTGCATGGGCCAACCATATGGGATTTTTAGCATTGGAGTGGACCCCACCTTTCAACCCTAGGGTAAGATTTTTTAGGCTGAGGCAAATGCAAAACATCAAAAATCTTATCCCCAGGGTTGAGATTTCTATATCTACAAACACAGCCATGAATGGTTATGTTTTTCCCCAGCAGTTTCGTACCATAAAAGTATGATGTAATGGTGAACCCAGAGCACCATGCCATCATCAAGGGCACATGGAATGTGTGACAAAATGGATGATATGTTACCCTGGTTACGCTGTGCATAAAGTCACGACTTTATGGTGATATTTTCAGAACCATAGTGCATATGTGAGCCATTTTTCTCTAGGTAGATACAGACAGGTTTATCTTTTCTCTAGCAGAAATGGAAACATATCAGTGAAATGTGTCGGAAAACTCACTGCATGATGTCAATCACACACTATATGCTTTGTAAGCCTTTTAGTACATTATTTTGTCAGCAAATGAATTAAAGGCACAATTTTTTCTGTCTTTTAAAAACCCTTCATCTATTCCATGTTTCAGATTTTTCACAATTATTCTCAGAGTTCTTCAGACTAAATTTCATTTTTCGGCACAGGTATCAGTAGTATACATTTTTTTAGAAAAAATGACATGGAGAGTTTGATATATTACCAGCATAAGGGATCCACCAAACGCCAGACAGAAGACAAACGGTCCTGCAAGGTCGGTGTCCTGCATGATGGTGCTCTCCGTCTGCTTCAGGGGATTCAGAACTGCCATTGTCTGCAAATACACAAGATCAGTTATTACAAATCTACAACACATACAAGAGAACTTTAGTATCAATGAATTTACAGAAAAAATATAATGTGGGGTGACAAAGAAATCTTCCAAATGAAAACCTAAAAAATCAGAAAGGTCTATTATCATCTCAAAACCTAAGAAACAATACCTATACTCATTCACTCCCACAAATTTAAACTGGACTTTCCCAGTCTTGGATTTGATAAGGTTCAAATGTGACTTTTGGGGTGAATGGGTTAAGACATTCACTCCAATATATGGTTCATGAGAAACATATTCTTAATCTGCAATGCAACTCCTATTATTTTCTGTAATTCTTATTCAATTGAAAATATCAAAACTGCACGCATACACTGCAACATTAGAAACGCATAAATAAACCCATACTGTATAGACGTACTGTATATATTGCTGCAAAAATTAAAAGGTTTGATAAAATTCCAATTCCTTTAAAGTTTTAATTACCAGGTACTGAGAAATTTCCCATTGGTGTCAAAATGAAATTCTACAGAGAAATGAAAGTGGATATCTTATACCAATTCAAGCATAAAAACGTGGTTTTTCATCAAATAACTTTCCTATTTGTAATCTAAACCTAATAAAAGTGTTGTTTTAATAAAATCACTACTTGACAAAACACTTGTTACTCTGTGTTAATTATTATCTCCCTAAATCATCCCGGTATCCTGTTTCTGTAATGTTGTCCAATGAAATTGCTTCTCCGAGGATGCTCAATTTCATCACCAAATCCCATTTCGGAATTTTGTTCCGAAATCTATATATCATCATCGAACCCTATTTTTATACTTCCTCCGTCTGATAGGGAAAGACAACAATCTATTATTGATATATAACACTCCTTAATGTCAACGTCTGTTGCGGACAGACAATCTATTAGAGAGACTCCCCTTGGTGGGGGATCGAATGTGCAGCAGACGCGGCGCCATAAAAATACATGTATATGAGAGATGAACAGCAAATCCAATTTAGGGATTCTCCATTCTCTATGTATCAAGATAAAATATCCTTCCAACACTTTGTTAATAGCGTCAGTGTAAAACGTGTATAAAAACCTTGATATAATGCCCCATTTCTTTTGGAACCACAATTACAGCCAACATATTTAAAGGTCCCTTTTCCATTGTTTTGTAACAATTCCTGTGTTCCTGGCGATGCTTGGGATGTGTATCTTTTCTTTTCTCACTTCTCTACCCTTTATTTCTGGTAGACTTCTGGTAGCACTGCTCAAACACGTACTCATTTACAGCTGAGTGGACTGGAACAAGCAGAGTAAAGTATCTTGCTCAAAGATACAACACAGTGCCGTGCGTTGACTCGGACCCGCAACCCTTCGGTCACGAGTCCGACGTCCTACCACTAGACTACCGTGCCTCCGATATACCTGGTATACCTATAGATGACTTGTTTGCTTATTGGGTTTTGTGTCCTATTACCAGCCAAGGTCATTTAAGGATGTGTCTCTATGTTTGTAATGTATGGGAGTGTGCTGGGGGTGGTATCTTGGTGTAGTTGCCTACTTAAGCGTGGATCTGATGCCAACATAAGAGTGCTACCTCACTGAAATACCATGTTGAAGGCACCCAGCACAACATTCCATCCAGTCAACATACTGACAAAGATTAAGATTTGCATATCTTTATAAACATACAAATGCTATTTTGACTTACCGGTATATATATTTATCTGCAAAATAAACTTTTTAATGAATGTACAACATGATGTTTGACCCATTCACCCCTGAATTAAGACACATTTGAACTCTTCCAATTCAAAGGCTGGAATAGATCATTATGAAATTTAAGGGGTGAATGAGTTTACAGGACTACTGTAAGCCTTTGATCATCATGCAAGTCAGATACTTCAATGAGTCTAACGACCAACAGTATGCTTAAAACATATCCAGCAGCGTGTACTAATTATTGTAACTTATTGACAAAAGAAGTTATCCGGAGAGAAAGACAGATCAATTTGAATGTATTTTATTTTGAAGAGAATATATGACATTGGCAGATTTATATTTTTACAGAATCCATTTTCATGCCAAAAGGGCTTTGACAAAATAACTGCCGTATAACCTATAGCCTGGTCTGGAGATGGCAGAGCTGAATCTATTTACAATTCATAGAAACAGAATGCATACAGAATATCCAGACAAATGTTAAATTGGATACATCGAGAATTTGGAGAAGATTAATCAACCTCTTTTCACAGAATCAATATGGTACCGGTTCATGCTATAGACTAGCCTGCATACCGTAATTACCCCTGCTAAGCCCACACTGACTCAATATCAAGCCCATCCATCCTTGCTTCAACATATTCTATAAATACGAAATAAGTCAGAACAGAGCTAACAAAGCTAACTTTATCAACAGAGTATTGATACCTCAAGGGTAGGTAGGATGATTGCAATGCTGGTGAAAAATTGTCTTCCCTACAAAAAGAGACATTTTAATTGGGAAACATACCAAGGACTCATTTTAATCCCTTTCTTAGGAGACAACCAGGCTAGATCACAGGTAAAATGCATAGCATAACTAGGAGCTACAGCAAAGGTTTCAATAAACAAAATCTGGAGCTAGTACATCAACATTCATATCAAGTAATGAGAAAATTTAATCATGTTTCATAGTAATGTAATCTGGAAGTGACAAGTCTAAGACAGACTACATAAGCCATACTGACCAATAAATGGAACCGTGAACCGACAAACATAACAGTCGACCTAGTGTGGCATTGACAGAGGCAACATCGCCTTGACAACATCAAGGTGCTACATTAGAGCTTAACCTTGACCTTTTAACCCTCATTATCAACCTGTTTTGGAATAATTCTACTCTGACCAAATGACCTCTTGGACTATCATTGCTCCGTGCTTAGCAGCTTGTATTATTCCCTGGAGAAGGAGCCGAACCCTACAGCTAAAAGAGCTTCAGAGAGCCGATATATTCTTCTTTTGTTGTTTTCCTGTTTTTTTTCAGTATTAGCTTTCCGGCAAAACAGCTAAATTCAATCAGATTGTAGGATGGAAGCCCTCCAGCATACCGATACAAAAATCAGCATTCCCCCGATAGAATAACAATGTACAGTAGTGAAGACGAACAACCATCTTTATGGCAAATTTGCAAAGAAAGAGTTTGTGTGGTCGGATCAATATTCACCAGCCATAAATGTTAGGTTAGCGGGATGCTATTGTTGTATTCCCCGTGACTATAAACCTAAAATATCACAACACAAAGCTTATGGGCACATTTCAAAGGAAAATTAATTCCATGTGTGCTTGTATTTCAATTTGTAGAGTGGCCATTCCGACTAACAGCCAGATCAGGTGCGGTGATCATAGAACCCATCGTATAATTTTCTCTGATACCTGTCTTCATCAGTGATTTTACCTGGCTGTAATCAGGGTCATAAAGTACCTATTCATTGGCCAGGTAAGGCTTACCACAGAAAGGTAGGCTGATATCAGGTGTCAGCTTCAAAGGCCGTCGGTCGGCTCGTTACAAGCATTATAGTGCATTTGTTACTACCACTTAATGACACCTTAGTCTCAAAGGTAAGAACTGAAGCAGAAATCACATCCGAATCAATCTAAGCTTTCCCTACATAGAATTATTGCTAATGAAGTAGATCAGGCTATTTTACAAAACATGTTTTCTTAGTTGATTGAATATTGATTCTTAATGTCTAAATTTGAACAACAGAGCTTGACTTAATAGTTATAGTTATAGCTATAGTTATTTTCCAGTACAGGAACAATATGTTCCTCTACACCGGACTCTATTATACATGTAATATGTTCTCATGTTTAAATATTAGAGTTCACTTCCATCTATGGTTGCCTTATAATTATAAAGTATTTCCTGATTTTTCCATATTTTGTCCAGTCTATTCTTGAAAGTGTTTATATTAGGTGCCGATACAACGTCCTCGGGAAAACCGTTCCACATTTTTACAGTTCTAATACCAAAGATGTTTTTCCTTAGTGTAGTTTTGAATTGTTGTGGGAAGATCATTTTTGAATTCCTCCTACTGCTGTGACGCGTTGTCACAGCAGTAGGAGGAAGTTAAACTGTATTAAAACCATGCATTGTCATTTTTTTTGAAATATTTGTTGAAGTCCTTTTCAAACCCAGTAATTTTACAGAAATACTGTTGTTCGAAATTTGATTTTTGAAAATAGAAATAAAAATAAAAAACAGAAAAACTGTAGGGGTCAAACTCAAGACCTTGACATACAGGAATTATAAATGCAAGGCATCAAAATAAATGTAAAATTAAGGGGCCATAACTCCAGAAAAACTCCTTTTGGTTGCTTCATCTTCTATATAGAAGGGAGAATTAACTCAAACTCAATAATCCTCTTGAGTTAAACGCTCCTCTTCGATTATCATTGATGCACTATCCTTAACCTTAAACCACTAAAAATAATACTGGTTAAAATATAACAGTCTTAACATGAGGTCCAATGGGCCTGTATTGCTCTCTGGTATTACATAATATTATATTAATGATATTGGAAACACATATCTCATATCTCATAATCTGTGATAGCCGGAGTGAGTCATGGTCAAATGAATTTAATAAACCTTAGGTGACAGGAGAGGCAAATGGGATTTGAGCCCGGGACCTCTCAACTCTAGAGTGACACTCAACGACGATCAACCCAGTCCAGTTCCGATACATTTGTAGCCAGCAAGCTTGGACCAAATCTTATTGCACAACAACAATTTAATCAAATTGTTGGAACATATATTTAACTTCTTTAACCCTTTCACCCCTATGTAAATTTAATAATAAACACCTACCATGCATTGATCTGGATAAGTCCACTATGGTCTACAGTGGTGAAAGGGTTAAGTCAGATTCATTTCTTTGAACAATCCTTAGATCCTTTGATTCTTGCAAGCTTTGCAAAAGCTTACATTATTACTCTTTATAGCCATCACATAAAATCT